TTTCAGCAAGTTGTTGGCACAGATGTACAAGGATGGTGCCGTGTTTTCTGGCATCACCTGAAGAGATAAGTGATGCCAGTTTGTTTACTATTGGTAGTGCCAGCTTCAATCTCATGGTGAAGGTGGTGACAGCCAGATGTCTCCATCGTTAAGGAACATTCTCCTTCAGTGATCAGTCAATAATCTGTAGCATAATACCTTGACACAGTGCAAATCTCCTGTTTCCCAATAGCCTTTCACCCAGTTAGGTCCTTTTTCAAATCTGAGTGGTGATTTTTATGATCTCTTGTTCTCCAATTGTGATTTTAGTTCCCTCTTTTTATTTCTTTAAAAGCATTAAACATCTTTATTTTATATGCCTGAATGCTTTGCGCTCTAGAGGTCTAGTTCTGCCTTTTGTTGTTTCTCATGGCTCTCACTCATGGTGCCATGTTTCCTTTTTTGTTTCTAAGAGTTTTGACTACTTGCATTTCATAGGGCTTTATCAGTGAATTCATTCAGGCCAGGTTGAACGTGGGTTCCTTCTGAGAGACATTCACAGACTGAAGTTTTGGAGACCTCCTAAGGGAGTGTAAATTAGGACTAGGATAAGCCCGAAGGCTGGTATCATGCGGGCACCTCTGGGTGTAGGTCTACTTCTGGTTCATTCTAACACTGAGCATTTAGTCCTGTGTGGTCTCATCTTTATGGAGATGCCCCTATGAGATTGTCCACTTTGGGAGGGCCCTAAGCTTTGCCTTTCATAGACTCAGAGGCCTTGCTTAAGAACCAGAATTCTAGGTCACTGATGTAGCAGATGCTCTCAGGGCAGGTTCCAACTGCGGGGCTCCATAGACTTCACTACATTTGACTTCCACTTACTTAGTGTTTGGCCTCTGAAGGTTCTAGACATTTTTTTTTTTTTTTTGACAGTGATGTACTGAAGATTTTCGGTCTTTATTTTAGTTGTTTTGTGGGCATTTATCCTGCTACAAAGTGGTGCCTCCCTAGTCTGTGCTGGTTATGGAATTCTTAGGTGCCCTATGGGGCTGCTGGAAACCATTCTGTGCTCTTGTGGGGCTCACTTATGGAGGGCGGGGCCAGTACCTCATGGGGCCCCACTCCCCAGCCCTGCAGGTACTCGCAGCATCCCGTGCAGCCTGTTCTTGCACTCCCAGACATAGGCAGTCAGTGAAGCAGGACCCGGTGGGCTGGAGCTGGCAATGCTTGGCTGACTGTGGTTGTGGCTTCCCCGCTTTGGCTGACTTCTCAGTACTCCTTGTCGATTCCAAGCTTCTTTAAGGACCAGTGGTCCTGTTGTGGTAAAAGGAAAGGGTTCTGTGACTGAGTGCATGGTGGGTGCTCAGGGCTGACTCATGGGTCAGGCTGTGGTCTCTGGGTACCAGCTTCTCCCTTGGCCCTGTCTCCTCTGAGTTTGCCAGTCTTTGGTGGTTTGCCTGCCTTCCCTGTGAGGGACACCCTTGGGGCCCATGGCTGCTCTGCCTGCCTGAGGTGTGTGTGGCTTGGTGGGAGGGTGAGAGGTAGGTGTAGCCTGCTCCCAGCCACCCATGTGCCTTCCCACAGGGGACCCTGATTGCCCGCTGCTCCTCATGCCAGGAGAAGGGCTCCGGGCTCCTCTCTGTGGGGATGACCCTGAGGCCTGCCAGGCTGCTGCTTCTGAGGCAGGACGCAGGGGGGCACTGTCGTCCCCCACCCAGGGGCCGAGGGCCTGAGGGGCTTTCGGGGTTCACAGCATCAGTTGGAAAGGCTGTCAGGGTTGCACAAATTTTGTCAGATTGTCTTTCTTTTTAATTTTGAAAAGAATGTGTCTCTCTTTGACATCTCGAAGAGCAGGCAGAATCCGAAGTTGTGCTCGATGGATTGAGTTTCATGTTCCTTTGCCCTCTGGGAGGAAAAGACGAGTGACAGAACAGGGAAACGAGGCAGCGGCGGGCGGCTGGTACTGCGCACTGGTGTTGCACAAGGGGCTGTGGCCTCCGCTCCGGGCGGCCCGCTGCCAGGGGAGATAGGATAACGCGATTATTCTCAATTAGATTAATAAAGAATAATTAGATGTCATAAATCAAGTAATCATAGGATATTGTCATGGGAAAAATATGTAGCTAGAATTAATTAGTTTTCAAATAAAGCGTTTATTTTAATTGCTTGAAATGATGGAGCCCTTAATTGCCGATGCATCATTTTGGCCTGAACATTTTGGTTGTTGTAACAACGTGACGGGTTTGTTCCCTGCAGTTCTGGGGAAACAATAGAGGAGAACTTGATTTCATCACCTCAGACCGAGCCTTGTGCTGGTGAGGTTCTGGAAACTCCCATCAGGCCGCAGGCAAGTGCCAAGTGTGGGCTGTGCTTCGGCTGGCGCTGCCCAAGGCCCCCATGCTGCCTGTGCGTGTGTGTGAGTGTGTGCATGCATGTGCGTGCATGTGTATGCATGTGTGTGCCCTCTGTGTGCGCATGCGTGTGCATGAATGCAGCGTGTGTGCATCAGCACCACACTGTGGGAGCCTGTGTGGAAGTGGCCTGTAGGACTCCGAGGCCCGGACCGTGGGGTGGGATGCCCCCCGTGCCCCAGTCCTGGAGACTGGGGCTTTTCTGATGGGTTGAGGTGCTTTAGTGGGGTTCTCCATTCTGGGGTTTCTCCAGATCTGGGGCCCTGGAGCTGACCAGCTGTTCTGATAGCACAGACAGCCAGTAGCTTCGGAGGGCCCTATAGCTGCTCCTCTGAATTTTGTCCCAGGCCTGCCTGCTGGAGGGCAGCCTTGCAGGATTCACAGCCCTGGCTGAGCAGTGTCTCCTGGCAGCTCACCTGTCCCAGGCCAGAGCAGGGGCCATGGGTCATGGAGCAGTATGGGGTCAGGTCTCTGTCCACAGGAGGCCGTCCTTGTGTTTGGGAAGAGTCAGTTGGTTTTTAGCGAAAGGTGAGAGAGGCTTTTACAGTGAAAACCCTAAAAAAGAAAGAAACAAACAGGAACTTGGCCATTTGTAAGCTCCATTCCCAGGTACCCCTTCCTTCTCTTTGAAACCCCTCAACAGAGGCGGGATCAAGCAGTAGAGTAGCTGCCTATGGTCTCTCACCAGTAAGGGTGAGCATCTGCCCCTTCCTGGCCCTAGCCCTGCAGTGTATGCTTTGGGTCATTAGGATCTCAGCCCCAACCCCACTTCCAGCCCTCACGTGGGCCAGGCCTTAGCTAGCCTGGTGCTGGCAGTGGCCTTCTGCTGGGTCTCTGCAGCATTTCCCTGACTCCAGTGGTCTCCGGAGTCTCGGGTCACTGCCTGTCCCTGTCCCCCCCCACCCCCTGCCCTGCTATCTAGGTGACTCAGAGCCCTCTGGCTTACAAGGCCCCAGCTGCCTTGACAGTGGCATTTCTCAGGTGTTTTGAACCTTTTGCTCTAGTGAAGCTACTCCGGGCTCTATTCTGAAAAGAGAGAGAGAGAAGGAAAGGGTCTGAGATGGTTTCACCGAGGGGAGGTACAGGGCTTCCCGGTTGAGCGTGTGGCTGAAGCAGTGCCTGGACTGCTCTTCTGCTGGAGAAACCCACGCCTCTCCTGCCTCTGCGCCTGTGTGTCTGCCTGTCCTCAGCCTCAGCCCCCCTTCTGCGTGGGCCCCCATGCTTGGCCTGGAACCCCCTCCAAACTTCGGCATTGGCCAAGGCTCCCTCCTGGAGGAATGCTATCTTCTCTGCTCCTGTTCTTTGCCCTGCCCAGTTCCTCTGGTGGCTGTGGCTCCCTCAGTGGCCAGGCAGCCTCCTCACTGCTCTGCGTCCACGCTGGAGAGGGGCAGGTGGGGAAGGGTCTCAGATCCCAGCAGGAGAGGCCCTCCTGATGAAGTTGCTGCAGCTCCCCAGCAGTCTGCTCCTGGCCTTTCCCTCTGTACCCTCAGCCTGGCCTGGGACCTGCAGGCTGACAGATGTGCCCCCGTGGTCATTGGAGCAGGTCACTTCTGGTCTGGTAACCATCCCTGTACCGTTGCTGGAGTGGGCTCAGTGGGGACACTGGGAGGCTTCTTTCAGCTGGGTGGGCCTCACAGGACCAGTGATTTGAGGAAGGGTCACTCATCTGTGATATCAGTCCTTCTGGGGAGTGGCAAGGTAACTCAGTCCCTGCCCCTTGCCCACACACTAGTGCACCGGCCACTCTGCCTCTTGGTGGCAGCGTGCAGACTTCAGGCCTGAGTCTGAGAGCCCTGGGGTAGCTCACCAGACCATCCCCTGCCTCCATTTCTCCAACAGTAAGTGTGGTGCTGCCTTCTCTAAGGGTGGATGTACAGGCCCTCAGGACCCAGCAGGTGGTGTTTGCAGCACATGTGAGAGAGAGCCTCCTCTTCATCTTGGGTCCTGCTCGCTCTTCCAGCCCCCAGGGACCCTGCACACCTCTTGTCTGTCCATTGGTTCATCCCTTCAGTATGCACTTGCTGAGCAGCTGCTTTGTGCCTGGTGCCAGTGGCCAGGCCTCTGGTCTGGGGGGAGCAGGCCAGTGTGGCCCCTGTTCCCCAAGCTTGCTACAGGGCCAAAGTGGACAGCATGTCCTGGCATGTCATTGCTCCCCTGCAGGGAGGAGAGGAGATGGGCATCAGGAGGGAGGAGGGAGGCTGAATTTGCAGTACTCAGCCAGGCCTAGAGGCAGGACAGACACCCCAGGGTGTGTGGACAGCCCAGGCGAGGAGAAGGCAAACCGAATGAGGAGGAGTCACTCCTTCTGCTGCAGCCAGTGGGATTCAGGGAGTCAGAGTGTATAGCTGGTGGGTGGACAGCAAGCCCTGGAGGCCAGTGGCAGGCTCTACGCAGGGCGCTGAAGGTTAGAGTGACCTCAGAAGGATGTGGGCGCCACTGTGCCCACCCAGAGATGGTGCAGGTTGGGGCCAGGGTGATGCCATTTGGGTGTAGAGGCCAGTAGGCAGGATGGAAGACAGGCTGAAGGGGGTGGGTAGCATCCAGGGAGGCTCCGACTGCCTTCCTGAAGGATGACAGGTTGGGTCACTCACACCCTTCCTTGGTCCCCAGGTGACTGCACCCCCGCCCAGTATGGCAGCCTCCCCGCTCCCACCGCCAGATCCCCAGTTTGTCCTCCGAGGTACCCAGTCGGCGGTGCATGCGCTGCATTTCTTCGGAGGAGCCCAAGGACAGGGGCGCCCACTCCTCCTCTCAGGGTGAGTAGCTGTGGCCCCAACCCAACCCCGGGGGTTAGCCCAGGGTGAATTTAGGGGGCGGTGGGCTAGCAATGAGCCCGGGGCTCATTTGGGGATCCCAGTGACGGGCTCAGGCTGCCCATCACTCAGGCGGGCATACTGACTTTTCAGAACCCACTCGACAAGCTGTCCCTTGGGCCTGGCCCCCTCAGAGGAGGCAGGGAGCACGCCTTGATAGACACCATCCAGTTTACAGTGTCAGTGGCAGCCCCCTGTCCCTCTGCCTGAGGTGTCCTCAGAGGCTTCTGAGGGCCCTCTGCCCGCCATTCCTGGAAAAGGAGCACTGTGCCACTTTTACCCGTAGTTCACATGGACAGCCGTCACCTCAACTAAAAGCCCCCGAATGAAATGCCTGGTCCACTGCTGTGGGGTTGCCAGGCCAGCCCTGCAGAGCATGCTGGGAATGTCCTCTGATGCCTCTGCCTGAGCTGGTGCTTGCGCTTGTCAGAACAGGTCCCTGAGCGGGCTGGTGCACATCTGGAGCTTGCAGACGCGGAGGGCGGTTGCTACGCTGGACGGCCATGGGGGCAAGTGTGTGACCTGGCTGCAGACACTGCCCCAGGGGCACCTGCTCCTCAGGTGGGTCTTGGTGGCAGTGAGTACAATCCCAAAGGAGTCAAGCTGTGGCCTTCGGCAGGGGCCAAGAACTTGTCACTGCAGGCTCTCGGGGTCTCCCCCCGCTGCCGGGGCAGCCCCTCCCCATGGCAGAGCAGTGTGATCTCTGGCTTGTCCGGAGGCTGTGTCCGGGGACACCAGGTGCCCGGCAATGTAGCCTCTGTGACCACTGCTCTGTCCAGGTGGGTGCCCACTGAGAAGAGCCTGATGAACGCACAAAAAAACTCTGTCTGCAGCCCCACACGCCACCTGTGGCCTGAGCAGAGCCCTCCCTGGCCTGCCAGGGCTCTCCAGTGCAAGAGCTAGGCGCCCATGGCTGAGCTCAGGGCTTCTCCTTAGAGGACCCTCAGCTTCCCTTCTGGGGACCCCAGGGCTCTGGTGTCGCAACACCTGCTCTGACAGGTGGTCCCCTTCCCACGAGGTGGCAAGGACTGGTCACCAGGGTGGTGCAGAGCCTGTGCCTAAAGCCCACCCACTGATTGGGGTTGTGCTCCAGACCTCGAGTGCAGCCACCCCCCCAGGGCACTGGGTGGGCCACACAGGTGCCCAGGTCCATGGCATTTGGGCTGACCAGTGCAGGGAGAGGAGGAGACGGCGAGAGCAAGGTGGGAGTCTGGCACCCCGACAGAGGACGCTGCACGTGCCAAAGCCACGGTGGACCCAGCTGTGAGCGGCTGTGAGCAGAGCCCAGAGGGGTCTGGCACTGCCACCATGGCCTTGTAGAGGTGCCAGGCTGGGGACTCCAGGCGAGAGGTAGGCCAGGAGGCAGCAGGAAGGGGCAGATGGGTGGAAGAATGAGTTTCTGTCTACCAAGTTTAAGTGAAACTTTCCTGAAAGCCCTGCAGGGCCGGTCTGGCTTCCTGCCTGGACTCGGAGCCTGGACAGCTAGGCACCATGGTTCCTGATCCCCAAAGGACGAGGCCTGTCAGGGACCCACCCTTCTTCAAAGCACTTTTGTGCCAGACATGCCGCTCCCACCACCCTAAATGTGGCTCGCAGGTGATCAAAGAACCAGAGGTATCCAGGAGGGCGGTGGCCCCAGACACATGTGCTTGCAGAACCCCAAACTGGCCCCCTTCTCTCCCAGTTGGTGTGGAAGGCCCTCCATATGGTTGTGGCTTTTCCCTGATGCTTAGAATAGAAGTTGTATCCAAATACCCCACTAAACCACTCACACTGGGGGCTGCTCTTTGTAAACATTCCTCCTGAGTTCTCAGCCAAAAGGTCTTGGGCCCTTTGGTGCCTCCTGCCCCTCCAGGGCCCAGATGCCCTGGGCTGTTCTCAGGGAACTCCTAGCCCTGGGGTCTGCTCCTCAGAGAGCTGGCCTGATGTTGTGTGGGGAGGCAAGCAGCAAGGGCAACCTGTGAGTGAATGTTTGCTGGGCCTTCCCTTTCCAAGCTGGATGGCACTGTGGTAGCCCTGCTCCAGGCAGGGGCCCGTGGGTCAGGAGGTCTGCGGTGCAGACCGTGCAGGGACTTGGAATGCCCAGGTGCGTTTACGTTGCACTAGAGGCCGTGCGCCCAGCTGTGTTTGGAAGCCAGGTCTCTGCAAAGTGGCCCTTGAGAAAGGAAGGTACGCTTTCATGTCAAGGGGAGGCTGGAGGACAGAAAGCTGGGAGCCAGGCTGAGCCTTAGGCGCCGCCCTCATGCCCGAGGGCACACCTGTGCCCAGTGACAGCCACCCAGGTGCTGTGTTTTATTGTGGGCTGTAGCCCCCTTGCAGAAAAGTGCACAGACCAAGTTTACAGACTGTTGTATTATCACAGAGTGGACACCTGGGTAACCACTCCAGTCAGGAGGCAGAACACTGACGTCTGCTCCGTTCCCGTCCCCAGGAGGCAGCCCCCTGCACCTCGCTCTTGCCTTACCACTCAGAATGTGCATCTCCAAACAGCATAGACTTGTTGGGTCTGGTTTTTTTCTTACTTAAAGGGGCCATGCAGAACAGCTTCCTTTGTACGTGACTTCTTCCACTCAGCTGTACTTTGTGAGGTCCATGATGGTGTGTGTAGCCATAGGGCATTGTGTGGGATTTTTCTGTGTGGTATTCCACTGGATGTGTATGTATACCCAGATTATTTCTCATTCTACCATCAGTGGAGATCTGGGTTGCCCACCTGGGGCTGAGAAGCTTAAGAAGACCCCCGTCTGGGTCTCCGGGTACACACGTATCTGCAGGTTGGACCCTGGACCCAGAGGTGGGGCGTCAGGGACACAGGGTGTGCCCACGTTGGGCGGCTCAGAGGGTGCCAGGCTGTCCCCAGTGCGAGTGCCCCCACCCCTGCAGTGCTCTCTGGGGCCTGGGCGCTTCTGGGTGCGGCCTCATTTGCACTTTCATGACCACTTAATGAGCCAGCCCTCTTCTGCCTTTGTTAGCCCCTGGATAAAGTCTCCCTTCAATCCACATTTCTCTATCGGATTGACTGCCTTTTTCTTATTGAGTTACAGGAGTTCTTTTTATATTCTAGAAATGGCTGATAGTTTTATATCACCAGGTACTGCTCTCACAAAGTGGCTTACAGTTCTCACTCCTTAAGGATGTGTTAATGAGCAGAAGTTAGCCATTTAAATGGGGTCAAGTCTGCCATCTTTCCCTTTTGGCTGGTGCTTCTGTGTCGTGTGAAGGAGTCCCAGCAACAGGTCATCAAGACCTCCCTGATCTCCCAGGAGCTTCAGTCTTGTTCCTTTTGAGCCCACACTGCATCTGGAATTGACTGTTGGTGAGGAGGAGCATTCTTTGTTTCTGTATGGATACCCAATGGTCCCGTCCTCCCTGCTCTCATTTCCCCTCCAAGTTCAGGGACGTGGGCAGCTGAGGAAGTGGACAGTAGGGGGTGGCTTCCAGGCAGAGGTGTTGGAGCAGCGTGCCCAGCGGCCAGAGAACCAGGGTGATGGGGGCGAGGTCTCAGAGGTGACTGGGGAGGTTGGGAGATTGGCTGCTTCGTGCAAGCAAGTGCGTGGGTGGAGCGTGGCAGTAAATATCTTGAGGAAAATGGGAGGCAGGTTTTTCCCAGTCAGAGAATAGAGTCACAAACCTGAGAAGGAGGAAGGAGAGGAAGAAGCCTTGGGGCATCAGCATGAACTTGTGAGGTTTTGAAAATATATACACAAAGGTACAGAAATACTTGTGTGTGTATGTTTGCATGTGTGAGTGTGCATGTGTGTGTGAAGTTTGTGTGAGTGAAGGGTGTGTGTGTATGAGGTATGTTTGCATGTGTGAGTGAGGTGTGTGTGTGAAGTATGTTTGTGAGTGTGAATGTGTGCATGATGTGTGTGTGTGTCTGAGGTATGTTTGTGTGTGACTGTGTGAGGTGTGTTTGTGTGTGAGTGAGCTGTGTATGGAGGTGTGTTTGTGTGTGACTGTGTGAGGTGTGTTTGTGTGTGTGACTGTGTGAGCTGTGTTTGAACTGTGTGTGTGAGGTGTGTTTGCATGTGTATATGTGAGGGAGGTGTGTTTGTGTGTGAGTGAGCTGTGTGTGTGTGTGAGGGAGGTGTGTTTGTGTGTGAGCTGTGTTTGAGTTTGTGTGAGGGATGTTTGCGTGTGTGTGATAGGTGCGTTTGTGTGTGAGTGAGCTGTGTATGTGAGGTGCATTTGTGTGTGTGTTAGTGAGTTGTGTGTGAGGGGTGTTTGCGTGTGTGTGTGAGAGGTGTGTTTGTGAGTGTGAATATGTGCATGAGGTGTGTTTGTGTGTGTCTGAGGTGTGTTTGTGTGTGTGAGCTGTGTGTGTGTGAGGTGTGTTTGAGCGTGTGAGAGGTGTGTTTGTGTGTGTCTGAGGTGTGTTTGTGTGTGTG